AACCGGGGCTCCCCCGGGGCGGCAGGGGGAGGGAGGGAGGGCGGGCAGGGGGTTTGCCCGCCTGAGCGCAGGCCTGCCGCCGTGACGGGGGTTTGCGGGTGAGAGCCGCGGCGCTTGAATGGCAGCCGGGGGCTCGTTGTAGGGGGGGGGACGGTAATTAACTTCGCTGCCCGAGGTTAATTGACGGCGACCCAGGCTCGATGCGATCTGCACGTCTTTTTCTTACCGGAACGCGTAGAGAAAGACCGCTCCCCACCCGTGGCTGGCGGAGGGAGCGTTCGACGGGAGCGTGGGAAGGTCCGGGGAGAGGAACGCCACCTCCACGCAGAAATGGTTTAAAAGCTCTCCATGGGCGTTACGCGTAACGTACGCCACTTCTTGTCTATCGCCAAAAAGTGACGGGCGAGGAAAGGCCAACTGCCGGCGCTATAAATCAGATTCTACGTTCGGCTAAGGCTACCCCTGCCGACCTTGGCCCTCGTAAGGCTTTACATCATCGCCGCTCTGACGGATGAGGCGCGGTTGCAAATCAATCGCTCCGTCAGGTCTAACCCAGCTCTGAAGCTGCCACGGGTGCCCCCGACGCGCTCGTGCCGGAGCTGTGTTTCCCTCTTGCTCCGTCCAGCCTGTTCGGAGTCTGGTTCTTTCCGTTCTGCCTCCCCGCAAGGGAAGATGCAGTTAGTTATTACCACTCGGATCCTTTTTATAACTTGGATATTTTATAGTGGGTTCTTAAATTCATAGTGGGAAGTGACCCAATCCTCAAAGCTATAGAAAAGCCTTGATAAGTCTTTGCATAATTAGAAGCAAAATTGTTTTCTAGCTGGTCTTGGGGTCGTGCCACATACGTTCTTAGCAGAGGATTATTGCAAACCGATACCTTATAAAAGCAAAGAAGTCTGTCTCCTGTAAGAGTGTATCTACGGAACACCGTATCCATTGGTACCCGGTGTTTTTCTCTGTGGCCCAAGTCCCCTGAGAATAAACTGTACTACAAAACACAGTGATCGTTATCCCGGCTGTGTTCACTGTGCACCTGGGGCTCGTCTGACCCGACACAGGACCTCGGTTGCCACAAGACAGCAAGTCGTGAGTGAAGGCAGCTCAAAGCTTTCACTTTTCCCTGGCCAGAGGAAGCCCAGAATAAACAGCAAAGCCCTCCAAGGCAGGTCTAAGTAGGGTTTATGGATTAACTGTAAAGTCCCTTGTCCTCTGAAGCGTGTCCTTTAGTATTGGCAAAGCAAGCTGATGGTCTCCACGCTTCATCCCCTGTTCTGACTTTCTTTTTCTTTTCTGTTAGCTTTTCCCCCCATCTGTTCTGGGTATGTAGCAGATGAATACCAAAGCTAAATCTCTTATCTCATGCAGAGAGGACTTCAGCTAGGTTTTTGTTTTACAGGCATGAATGCCTTAGCATAGCTGTCTGGTTTAGCAATTAACTGTGGCTTTCCTAGTCCGCTTGGAGTGTTTTGCACTTCAACTTACATCTTATAAAGACTGATCATTTCATTAAGGACTAACTTGTCCAACCCAATTTTGAAGCTTCTGTTTGGGGTGGGAACTTGGTAATGTAATGCTATTTTTTTGCAAAAAAAGAGACTTCCCTGAAGCAGGGAGGAGATGGCTACAGAGGGACAAAGTAGGCCAGTAACCTTTAACAGAGACAAAAAAAGATTCTTTGCAACCTATGCTGTCATTGTAGAAGTGAGAAAAAAATATACTGGGAGCTATACATTGCTCTCAAGAGGAAGCACAGAGCCCAGGTGGGCTTTGAGCTGTGGAAATCCAGCTCAGGGTAACAGGATGAAGCTCTGCTGAGTCACAGAAGTTTTTTTCAGAAGCCACTTGAACAGATCCTAGTGAGAGATTTGAGTTTCAGGATATCCAGGATAATACATTGAAAATATTGGGAGCCTGGGAGCTTCCTACCAGTCCTTCTCGGTGAGAAAAAACACTGGCGCCAGGGAGTTTTAAGGTAGGAAGCTTGATGGAAACTTGCCAACTAAGTTGTGCCCAGGATTAAGAAGATGAGCTTAAGTGATTTGTTTATTTTTATCTGGCTGTGCATGCTTCCTGAGTACAGCCTTCATTCTGGCACCAGTGGCAGTTATCAGTACTGTTGTGTGCAGGGGCTTTACCTAGCTCAGAAACAGATTGGAAACTTAATTTTTTTCCAACTTAATCTTTAAAAATTGGAGCTTTGTGTCTCCAGACCCCTTTGAGCTTTCTGCCTTGGGCTTGCCACCAAGCAATAGAAATAGAGAGATACAGCTGCAGTTTCAGGATCTGAATTGCGAAAGTTGCAATCTGTGGGAGATGTAGTTCTAGCAGAATAGAGGGGCAGGTAGCCATAGGATATCCTGCGCGTGGATTGAGAACCTTCTCCCCTGCTGGTAAAATTCACAGTAATTCCTTGGGAGCAATGCCGCCGTTCCCTAGCCTCACATCATCATTCTTTGGCTGTACCTAGTTTCTTGTGTAGGTGACGTTTTTGATCCCGTTGCTACTCAGGCAGCCACCTTTTAAATATGGCAGTTAGGTATTTTGCGCTTATTTCTCCTACTTTGAGCTGCGCTACCTTCCTAAACGCTTTGCTATTACTGCACCACCTTCTGAATGGGATACATTACAATCTCCTTGCTCAGCACTATTTTTGCAAATGGTTTGACAATAAATGCTCGTGAGTGCTCGTTGAGTGAAGGCAGTGAGTATCTAACCTAGACTTCCTTTTCTAGGTATTACCCATGCCTGCTGCCGGTTGTTTCAGAGCCCTGTGAGAATGCTGTGCTACACAGGTACCCTCTGTGCTTGTCAGCCAGCCCGTGCAGTATCCTGGAGGTCTTAGATTTAGTTCCCTTGTAGTCTCCTTGTCATGTGTCGGACGACAGGTAATCGCTGCAGGCTCCTGGTTAGCAATCCCTGTAAGCCACGCGTTCTGAAAAGTCCTCACCCTCTGCTAATACCCGCTCTACATGTAGTCTAGAAAACAGCCAGAGGCTTAGGTATTTCCCTCTTCTCCGAATGTGACATTTCTCTCAAATGTGTGGGTCACCCTTGCTTTCTTGAGACGGGAATTCATCCCTCGCATCTGGCTGTGATAACGTCTCAGAGGAACAAGCTGCTATTGTCTAACTCTTTTGTGTATTCAGCATTGTGGAACTGGGATGGTCTGATGGAGGCAGCGTAGCTGCTTTGGATCTGGACTAGTTGGTAGTATGTTTTCTTGGTTCAGCCAAAATGAACCAGGGAGCCATGTAAGGCAGTAGGAAGTAGTTTCTTGCATGCAGGAACTGACCCAAATGGAACTGTGATGGCATGAATATTGAAACTGGTAAGTGCTTTGGAACCTGGTATCTCCTTTGCTCCGGTTCTTTTGGCAAATAACATATTAAGGAATTAATCTAAGCAGTAATGCAGGCAGAGGTAAGTTTGTGATGACGGCAGACCTCATCTTTCCTGAGTGATGAATGCAGTCCAGGACTTTTCTTTAAACTAAGGAGAAGGTTCTCCGTTCACAGTGAACAGGTGAGGGTTGTTTATTTTTTCCATGCATTGAGTTGGAAGGTCTCAGAGACCACAAGACATTCAGGGTAGCCATACTGAAATGCAGCCACTGCTGGAGCGAGGATCTGGAAATCAGCCAGCGTATGTCATCGTACTGCAAAACAGGGAGATCTTACATTTCCTAAGTTATGGAAGTGTTTGCTAGTATTGAGTGAAAACTTGCCCATTGTGTATTTTCAGTAAGTTCGTTTCATGATCTCTGCCTGAGTAGTACTGCATTTCAGTTGTAGAGTATGGCAGAGTGGCTTGGGGCATTCAGGATGGAAGCTGCTAGGGAAATGAATATTAAATACACTTCTTGGGCAGGTCTTCTGTCTGTTTTATGGTCTTCTGAAAAATC